CCTGGGACGAGAAAAGGAGAAGGGATTGTGGTGTGGCCATCCCCTTGGAGGGTGATTTCTCACTTTCTGTCTCTCTGTTTTTCTCTCCAGTGAGCATAAGCATCCTATAGCAAAAATATCTCTCTAAAAAATAATAATAAATAAAAATAGGGACCAGCAGATGGTGTAATGGCTATGTCGCTGGACTCCCATGTAGTCGACCATGGTTCAAGTCCCAGACCCAGTAGCTTAAACTCATGCTGGGCGTGTGTGCATGTGTCCCCAAGATCCCAAGAGGAGAATGGAGGAGCGGCATGGCCGTATTCCCTTGGGGGTGAGTTCTCATTTTCTGTCTCTCTCTCTCTGCCTTTCTGGTGAGCGCCTTTGCCCTCTGCCTTAAAGAGAAAGGTCGCAAAGGTTTCTCAAAGCCTGGGCGGGGTGACAGCCTGTGACAGAGTTCCCTGTGGAGTGTCAGAAGAGGAAGGGGCTTGGAGACTGGCCCTGGGGAAGGCCCAGAGGACTTCCTCTTCCCTGAGGCCACAAGAGCTCCCTGACAAGGGGAGAGAGCTCTCTGAGCTCCGGGTGGCACCTGTGTTCAGGAGGCTGGGACTAAGGGGAGGAGGCCAGGGGCCAAGTGGCAAAGGTTACGTTGCTGGAGTCCACGTGGTTGACCATGGTTCACGTGCTGGAACCGGCGGCTTGACACTCATGTGTGTACCCAAAATTCTGAGAGGAGAATGGAGAAGGGACTGCAGCATGGCCATTCCCCGAGTGGTGTTTCTGGCTTTTTAATCTCTAACTCTCTGGCGACTACAGGCACCCTGTAACAAAAAGTTCTCTTTTTTTTTTAAGAGGTTTTTGCTATAGGGCATGTGCGCTCCCCAGAAAGACAGAGACAGAGAGACAGAAAGCAAGAAATCACCCCCTAGGGGGGATGGTCATGCCGCAATCCCTTCTCCTCCATTCTCCTCTTGGGATCTTGGGCACGCACGTGCCTGGCATGAGTTTTAAGCCACCGGGTCCTGGACGCGAACCACGGTCAACTATGTGGGAGTCCAGCAACATAGCCATTACGCTAACTGCTGGTTCCCAAGCTTCAGCTGTTCTTAGAAGGAATTCTGTGTAGTTACCCACAGCAGTCAGTAAAGTTTTAGTTCTCTTTTACATAGCTGCATTTGGAGACACTCTACAAGAGGGCCGGCGCCACCATTGGCTTCGGCGGGCAGAGGTTCAGGGAGTCCCTGAAAGCCAAGTAGAAAAGGCACAGGGAGGATCGCTGGCCACGTCCACGGTCCCCAAATGACCATGCCAGCTGTGCCAGGCAGCCCAGGGGCCGGGCCCGTTCAGCGCCGAGGGCTCGGGACACCTCCGGACGCGAGCGGAGCGCGGCCAGCACCTGGCGTGGCCGCGGAGGCGCGGGGTCCTGGCTCCAGGTCACCCTCCCCCCGCAGGCATGCGCAGAGCCTCCAGGCCGGGATGGGAGGAGAAAAGAAACTCAGCCCGAGCCGGGAAACGGGAACTCGGGCCCGGACTGGCTGGCGGGCTGGGCGGGGCTGGTCCG